CTGTTTCATTTTGAGTAGTCATTTACCCATATTTTTTATTATTATTATTATTCACCAACTAACGGTCACACCAATAGAGGAATAAATAAAAGAGTAATGTAACCGTAAAACCAATCATAAATATTACATAAAGCTGATTCATGCTCCCTCGATGGTACTCGGATTCACCCTCGCTAACTTTCACGTCGAGAAGTCCTTGACTCTTGGCTTACTGCCGACTGTCATTGGGTCTTAATGCTTTTTAACAAGAAAATGTATGTCAAGGGATTTTGTCCGGATCTTCCTGTATTTAGGAGGTTTTGGGAATAAGCGAGAGGAACAGCTTGGGCGTTTGTGGGTTATATGTTCCATTTTGAATAATAAATATAGTGTAATGAAGATCTAATTTAAATGCAGAATAAAATCACATCAACTGAAGTGCATATTGGACACGGAGTTTTCTAGGACAGGCACGAGACATGCAATCACACAGTTCTGCACATGCCCACCGAAAATCGATCAAATCAACGGCATATCGTTGTTGAATTAGGGATGGCACTAGCTTCGATTGGACGAGAGTACAGATGGAGGTGAAAGGAGTCCAATGCTCCCACTTTAAACATTTCTTTCATCAACATGACTTCCGTAATTTTCCATAGACCCCGCCCTCGTCTCGCTCCACCCAGATTGTCGGCATGTTGTCACGTTTCTGCTATTTCCCCCCAACATTTCAGGAACTCTATCATTCTAAAACTCTGGTGAATAAGAACAAAAATGGATATTACTTGAGGAGTGTGCAGCAGGACAAGAAAATCAAACGAGATATTTATAGTGAGAGTAAGTGATATTCAGAGTTCGTCTTTCGGAAATTTGGCACCGGTTCTTGGTTCGCAGAGTATGGGAGTTTCATCTTTGTGATTCTTACGCCCAAGGATGAGGAAATTCCTTTGTGAGGGATGAATTTTCCTTTATGGTTTTAGGGCCTGGGACTGAAGAACAAAAGACTGACGTAATGTAAAGGTTACATGCAAGGAGAGATATAGTTCTTCTCCTAATATTTATACCATAGGGACTAAATAGGAATATGGTTGTTTTGTTTGCCTGTCGTGGTGTCCCGCATACAAGAGGCAATGCACGCTTAACCCCTGGAGCTTACTTTCACTTTCTGACAACCTTCTCTTAAACAGTATGTAATATTATTAAAGGTAGTGTCACATGCATTTGGACAAACTTTAACCTTAATACTTTCAGTGCGTGTAACAAGGAAACGCCTAAATATTGTTTTGATACAAATCTTACAAGGTTAATCTGCAAAGGAAATCGTCTCATTGTATAATATATTCAAGTGCTTCTTGGGACGTTGAGTCGCTCTGTGATTATTGAGTGTATGAATTTCAATTTACTTGTGTGTATTAGTTAACCCTTTTTGTTTATTTGTATATTTGCATCTGTAAGCAAACATGTATGTGTATGTGTATGCATTTGCGTGACGTGAATGCATGTGCATTTCTTTGTAATGTATATATATGTACATTTGTATAGGTTACGTATATGCACTTTCGTGTAGTGTATTTTTATGTAGTGTATGCGTTAATTTACAGGAAACCCACATATACTAATAATTTCTACACGTAGATGAAGTTTGTGGGATACTATCATGTAGGAATTGTGCTTTCTGCAAATGTCGATATTAGAGTTTTTTGTGTTTTTTTTACTACTCCAGTGTATACTTTAACTGCAAATAACAGTTTTGCTAACCTTATTCTAGATAGTAACACGGTGTTTCCAAACAAAAGCTAAGGTTAGTATGTAGGTAATACTATATGGATACGTGTGTGTGTGTGTGTGTGTGTGTGTGTGTGTGTGTGTGTGTGTGTGTGTGTGTGTGTGTGTGTGTGTGTGTGTGTGTGTGTGTGTGTTCTTACCTAGTTGTTTCAATACGGGGGAAGAGCTAAGTTCAGATGGTCTGCTATATTTGAATTATATAACTTGTTTTTTTTAATTGATGCACATTTTTGGCACACATAACGTTATTTGGAAAATTGTTCCATGTTTCAATAGTTCTGTTTGGAAATAACTTCTTGACATCTTTCTCGCCTCTCTTTGCTTTCATCTCTTTGTTGTGTCCTCTCGTCCCTCTTTGTGTTCAAAATTGTAAAGTCATCTTTGTCTAACTTCACCCTTCTTGTAATACAGTTGATCATCATTACCATGTCCCCTCTTTTTCTTCTTTCTTACAAAGTGATAAGGCATATTCTGTAGTCTTTCTTCGTAGCTCATGCCTTTGAGAGAGAGAGAGAGAGAGAGAGAGAGAGAGAGAGAGAGAGTGTGTGTGTGTGTGTGTGTGTGTGTGTGTGTGTGTGTGTGTGTGTGTGTGTGTGTGTGTGTGTGCGTGTGCGTGTGCGTGTGCGTGTGCGTGTGCGTGTATGTGTGTGTGTGTGTACGTTTGTTGTTGATGGAGATTCGATGCATGCGAGTGACTGGCCATGATACCAAGGGCGGCAAATAGCGCAAAGGTTGC